AGTTTAGAGTGCAAAATCTTTTGTAAATAAAATATGTCTAGACATAACTGTCACTGTCTCTTATACACATCTTTTGGCGAGACAAAAACATGGCAATCTTTGGTGAGAGGCAATCATGGCAATCTTTGGTGAGAGGCAATCATGGCAATCTTTGGTGAGAGGCAATCATGGCAATCTTTGGAGAGAGGCAATCATGGCAATCTTTGGTGAAACAATCATGGCAATCTTTGATGAGAGGCATCTTTGGTTTTGAAATTCTCTCTCACCAAAGATGGCCATGATTCTCTCACCAAAAATTTGAAAATACTTAATACATGCCATATCAGGCCCCTGTCTCTTATACACATCTAGATGTGTATAAGAGACAGTCTCTGTGTTGCCTGACGTAACGTTCATGCCGAGGCCGATTTCTGACGACCTGCAAACCTGTTTCTAGTTGCCACTTGCCTGGAACGTTTTTTTTCAAGGCGGAACGCTTTTTTTTAAGTGAACCTCTAATCTTAGATTTCCACTCTGTGCATCGGGAATAATATATGAACCGTCAATATTAGAATTACATCCTGCCAAGCTGCATAGTGGCAAACCAGAGCTTTTTTGGAATCAGTTCATTTTTAATTTCCTCAATAACTCAAGATTTAAACCAATTTCTCAAGTATGATAATGCTGCTTATGCTGGTATCCATGGACCATGATACTTTACTGGTCTACTCATAGTGGCAAAGCAGAGAGTTTTTTAGACTCTTCCTCAAGTTCATTTTTGAGTCCTATAAGTAGACCAGTAAAGTATCTTGGATACCAGAATTATCATACATAAGAAATCTGTTAAAATCTCGAGTAAATGAGGAAATTAAAAATGAACTGATTCTAAAAAATCACTGGTTTGCCACTATGGGTCTACTTATAGGACTCAAAAAAGAACTTGAGGGAAGGTCTAAAAAACTCTCTGCTTTGTCACTATGCCAAGCTGTATGCAAAAATTTAAATTTTCTTAATTAAAAGCTTAATAGCTGTTAATTAAAAGCCTAATTAAGTAGTGTTCAATATTCAATAGTGTTCTAATTCAAAGCCGTGTCGTATTCCAATACAGCTCACACACTGAAACAGCAATCGGAATTCGAACACAAGGATGTCGGAATTATGTATTAGTAGAGTTTGAAGTGCGGCTGGAATTCGTCTCACAACATGCCAAATTTAGTCACACACAGCGTCAGAATATAGGGATTTGGTAGGTTTGCATTCTGAAGGCTTTTAAATAAATATGGCAACACTTTGTGACATAGTGGCAAAGCAGAGAGTTTTTTAGACTCTCCCTCAAGTTCAATTTTGAGTCCCATAAGTAGACCAGTAGGTATCATGGATACCAGCATTATCATACATCAGAAATTGGATTAAATATTGAGTAAATGAGGAAATTAAAAATGAACTGATTCTAAAAAATCTGTTGTTTGCCACTATGCTTTGTGACGTTTCATCGTTGCTGGCGCGTAGTGCAGTGTTTTGAGAGTCACATAAAGCAAACAGAACTCAAGTAACGCATACGGTTATTTTTTTATAGTTTTTCATTTCTCGATGCGTCCTTAATGTGTTGGAATATACCGCGTTTACCCTACTCCAAGTCCACTCACTCATATCTAAATAGTCCTATCTCATATAGATTACTTCCAGAAAGTCTTGGAGCTAGAGGCATGGCATCGTGGCATGCAATAACTCTAACATCAAAGACATAGTGGCAAACCAGAGCTTTTTTAGAATCAGTTCATTTTTAATTTCCTCATTTACTCAAGATTTAAATCAATTTCTTAAGTATGATAATGCTGGTATCCGGGTTACTTTAATGGTCTACATATAGGTAGGACTCAAAAATGAACTTGAGGGAGAGTCTAAAAAACTCTCTGCTTTGCCACTATGATCAAAGACGCAAAGTTGTCAATCAATGATTTATTCAATGCCAACAGCCAACTGAGGCCTGAGCCAGTAAGTACTAGGTACCTAGTAGGCTACCTACCTACTTCGCCTGTTGGCCCTGTTCGCCACGTCACTAAGTTCAAGTTGCCGGCCTTCAAAAGAAATGCTTCAATTTGTATATAAAACTAAAACAATTCTCTCTGGACTTTAAATTTTAAGTGTGATCAGAATAGCTCCTCGATTATTGAAGACTGCAAATCGTAGTTCTGAAGACTGAACTTCTGACCAGTATTTACGGTCTTTATTGAGGAGCGGGGATTGGGATGTCAGTGCCGTATAGCGTATACATTATACAAAACTGTGTGACTCTGTGTAATTTCTGGTTTGGATTTGGGGCGCACATACCTTGAAAAAGACTGAAGAGTCACCATTATATCGGCAAGCTGCCGCCTGCCACGCGTCACATTACTCACATATTCGTCAGCCTTCTGCCCTTCAACAATCGACAGAAAGGGAGTCTGACAGGCAGGCATCAACAGACGGATCTGGATTAAATTTCTAAAAGCTTGACACATACCGGTCCACCGGAACCACCCTTTCAAAATTGATTTTTTTTTGGAATGTTGGGGAACTTATGTCAAGATGATGATGATGATGATGTCTTTTGTCAAGAGATTTGTTAGAATCAACAACAAAATTTCGACACTTTCAGTTTTACTTGGGAAATTAAAAAAATACTAAGAATTATATATATTTATTTGAGGAATCGCATCTATTAGCTAAACTTAATTAATTTAAAATGTGAAATTTGTGTAATCAAAGTTTTTAGCAATAAAATATCTCAATCTTTCATCACTTCATGCATCAAAAATGCAAATATATCACTAATGCAGCTAATGATAATTTGTGAATATCAGCAAAATTGGAAAACCACAGATGAGAGACCAGCTCTAACGTGCGTCTACAACCGATTCGACACTCAAAAGTTATTGATGTTAAAATCTGAAAAAATTCCGCCCGCAAATTACTGATATTATCTACTTATATTTCAAATTTGAATAAAATCCGTTCATAATTGCCGGATTTATGAGTGCCAGAGTTGAAAATGAAGTTAGGTTTTCCGTATTAACAAAAAAGTTAGATGTAAAAATCTGAAAAAATTCCGCCCGCAAATTACTGATATTATCTACTTATATTTCAAATTTGAATAAAATCCGTTCATTATTGAAGGATTTATGAACGCCAGAGTTGAAAATGAAGTTAGGTTTTGCATTCGAGCTCGCAGGCGAGTTCGCTGAAGTGTCGAACCGGTGCGTCTACAGGAGACGGCTCTCGACAAGTTAGTTTTTTTTTCAACTTGGTCATAGTGGAAGCAAGGCGGAAAAACATTGATGGATTGTTAGATGTAAGCAGTAATTTAAGAAGTTGTAGTCTCCAATTCCATTACTTGAATCGACAAGTTCTGTTCTAGTGAAACTTTTAGAAAAAAGGTTAGTGGAATTAGAGTTCGTTTATTAGAGTAATAGATGCCTTAAACAATTAACCCTCAACCGCCATATGTCACTCTCCGGGACAAAACCTTTCCACTTAAATTCTGCGTAAATTACTGTATGTAGAAACCAGAGGACGTTTGTACGCAACAGAGAACATTTTAAAGTTATACGTGGCGGCCACCATCAGCGCAAGTCATTTTGAGCTCACTAGAACGTATCGTTTTTGCGAAGTAGGCTTGTGACAATATTGTTCCGGTTACTCATGCCAGGCGGTAGAGAGTTTAATGAAAACTTAGCCCCACAACTGAGACTCCCTGCCAAACGCCAGTTCTGTGGCGAGGCACTCAAGAGCAATGCTGTAGGGAACGTGAAACGCGATAAGGTATTCAACTCTCTGAGACACCCATTTGAAAAATTTAGCCCAATAGTCACCCGTAAGATAAGCTCAATCGAAGGTATGCATATCGTGATAAGAGAATTTTTGATTTACAAGTGCAAATTAAATATATTGTTCGATATATTGAAAAAAAAACTAATAAGAAAATTGTCAACAAAACAAATTCTCTGGTCATCAATTCAATGAAACCTCCTTAAAGGAACAAATTCTGCCAACGTATACTAAAATTCAAATAAGCATAGGTTATATTAGAGAATGTACAAACATCAATTTATAGTTTTGTTGACAATATAGTTACAGAGTTCGCTGATTCTAACGCTTCTGCTTAAACTCAACGTGCAAGGCACCGCAACAATTACACAAGTGCACTGATACCGAGACACAAATTCAAGCTCCAAGCATGTCGTTTATTATCAGATTTAAGTTATGGAAGTTTCGAAGAAACTGTTAACATTAAGGATTATCGCTTAAACTAAATAAGGTAGCCATTCACTAGGCTCTGCGTAGACTGTAAAAATAAATAAGTTGCTAGCATTATCCTAATAACAGTACAGTATATGCTGGCGGGAAAGAACACTCTTGTTGAACTTTCATGTTGAAGTTTCAGTTAGTATCCTCAATAAAAATAGCAGATGGGATTATTAGTATCTGTCGGTATATTAAATTCAAATAACTTGATTAAGAATGATGATTCAAACAAGTTAGTTTAACGTTAGACAAATTGATGCAGACGCGCCGTTATCTAGGTAGTTCTTCCAGGTCGAAATCACTCCAAATATAAAATATAATGAGAGCAAATATGATGCTTAATATTCACTGTATTTCCATGAGAATCTCAGATAACAACTCATTGAAGAAATCTTCAAATAAATATGCATTCACAGAATCAAAATTAATATCAACAATTTCTCCTCTGAACTTGGAGCTTCCTTGATCAGAACATTGTTCTTCAGAGTAGAGTTTATCGTAACCAAACACATTTTTGGTAACTAAGCGGTCTAGCCTGACATTGAGAGACGTGGATACGTTTAGCATCAGTTCTAAAGAAGAAATTTCAGTAGTAAGCGTTTCAATGCTTTGCTCAACAGCAGTGGCAGCAAAACCTACAGACGTACCTATCACTCCCTTCATGATGTTTAAACTCATCATCAATGAAAACAAAGTAAGTATTTTACCTTTATAACCTTGCATCTCGTGTAAGAAAGATTCAGGGACACAGTTCATGCAACAGTCGTTGTCACATGAACACTCGTGTGGTAACGGTCTGGGGTAGACTTTTTGCATTGAAGAAACGGCGGGAAGATTAATTTTGGACAAACAAGACATCAGGTAAGCTAACCTCAACCAAAGATGAGAGTTGAGCTTATGAATGGCAAGAAGTTTCATGCATGACATCAGAGCCTGAGGGAGTAACCCACAAGCAATATGAGAATCAAGTAGGCTAGTAAGGCTCACAGTCAAGTGCTCAACAGTTTTAGACGTTTGGTGTAGAGCGTGGCTGAATTGCAAGGCCTTACAGTGCAAATTTTGCTTGCTATAACAACGTGCCAGATTGTCCTGACACTCTCGTCTAGTTACTACGCTGCTATCAGGTACCAAAGAGAGCATTTGCTCATAATAGTCAGTAGCTTTAGAATAATTTTGTTTTAAATAATAGTAATCAGCTTTATGTTTGAGGAGTGCTGTTTTGTCAATGTGAGGAGGAGGGTCATCAGGGTCTATGTCCAAGAAAAATAGAGAATTTTGATACTGAGCTTCAAAAAAATGGTCAGTGGATTTTTCCTTTTGCGTTGAAACAAAGAGTGTATCATCTAAAGCAAATATATCATCCATTTCTGCTGATAAACAAAACAAGATAATTTCAGCACAATATAAAAAATGTCATAAGAACTGAATCACTGATTCAAGACATCACACTCATAGATGATATAGGACGAAAAATGTAAATCAAGATTAATCTATACAAAGTCTGGCATGACCAAGTCTCATGACCATTTCAAAACAAATGTAAAAAATTAATTAAGAAATAACTTGTCCCGTATTCTTTCACATAATATCCCTTCTAATATTTTAAACTAGAAACATGCATCACTCTCAATGCCTTCTGAAAAATGAACGAATATCACATAAAAGTCACCTAAACGATGCTTACTTCTAATTTCCTTTCTATACCAACTTTGTTGAATCACAACTTGTTTTAACAAAGTAAGCTGGAAAGATTTACAATTTAATATTATTTTTGTATTCTTAAACTCTCTTGATGAAGGCTTGGCCAGGCAATGCTGAATCTTCAAGTTCTGAGTGAAGTTGCAGGACTGGAGACACTTGATTCCGCTCAACTCTATATAACCTGAAAAAATGCAAATCAATTAACCAGCATAAAAATTATATTGAGCTTATTAAGGCTTTTCCGAATATATTTTATAAATAAAGATGCTAATTACTGATAAGATTTGAGGATCCTAAATAATAAGGTTGTTGGTAATGGTATCAAGTTACAAGCTACACAGATCAAGGACCGAGTTTGGCAGAGGATAAGTCAGACTTGAGAGCCACAAAGCAGTGGATTATGATGCCAGATTAATGATATTTTATAATTGTGACACCTGACTTGACAAAATTTTTGATGTTGACTTATTCCATAACAGACAATACTGAAATAACTTAAAACATTAGTAAAATCTTACTTGAAAGCCAGGCCATATCCTAACAAGAAAGACATACCTATAGGTACTATCCTGTATGCCAAAACTGCCTGTAACTCACATAGACATATGATAACTTAATATCATTGATAAATTATTATCAAGTAATAATTTTAAGACAGTCCAGAAAAAACTTATGACAAACATTCTAATTAATTTCCTCTCCTAACATACAAAATAGTAGTATAATAATATAAAGGTTGATGCTTGGTATGATCAAGTTGTTATTAATAGCAATTTTCATGGCTTCTATTTGTTACAAGTCAATTTGTAAGTACTCCAAATTAGATTTCTCATGGATCTCAAGATGAAGTTGTTAGATTTTTATTGAACAAATTAGATTTGTACGTGCATGATTAATGACCATAGAATTTGTTGATTTAAATTATCAGAGAGTTGAACAATTCTTCAGATGACATTGGTATATCAAAAAGCATGTTTCAGGAAGTAATTTTAGCTTATTAACAACGTTTCAAATGCAACAAACATTCATTTTCAAGTTACAAGAAGCATTATATATTGCAATTTTGGTGGAAAAAATGTCAAGTACATAATATATGTAAATAGAATATTAAAATAAATTTTTATGAACCAAAAAATCACTCTGAAAAATCTCAGAGTTTTAAGAGTGATTGAGGGAGTGAGTTTGCCATGAGGAAGCAAATGCAAAGTGCATACAGGCCACTGAGACTGAGGCCAGCAGCATTAAGATACATAAATAAACACTTTTCTCTCATTACTGGTAAAAGTGTCCTTTGGCTTGCCTTACACTACAGTAGAGCTATATATAAATAATAACTGTAAATTTTTAGCATTGCATTGTTATCATTTAATACACAAGATGGTTAATTTTGTTGCATTATTATGATTATACCTCAAATGCTGCAGAGGTGGCAGGGTTGACATGTGTGTGTTCTGCTCTGGTGCTGCGGTGCACAAGTCTGGTGGTGGTGGATGTCCAGTCTTGAGCTGCTCGTGGCTGTGACCCACAAGATGACAAGAAGACTAGTGTGGCGGACTGGCGGTAGATACAATACTCAGCGGCAGTCGGTGCATCTGTAAGTTAATGAACATGTCATTGCATTTTGCATAAAATGAAACAAATTTAAGAGTTTTAATTTTTCTTGCTCCATAACCTAGAATATGCTAATGTTTACCTTTAATGTTTAATGTTGATAAATGATAACATTGCCATAGCACTCAAATTGTAGTATTTCAATAAATTCAATTGATATCCCCTAAAAATTGGAAATAGATTGTCTGCTTAATATAGAGCTTATGTTTATTTTTAATTGTTATCATTTGAAAATTTATCTTTTAATATATTCACATCTTCAATCTAAATATAAGTTGGCTGAAAGTGTGTACGGAGTACAGACAGACCAGTGTACTTGTCAGTTCTACTTAACTTAGTCTTAGATCATTTAGAATTTAGATGATAGACCCACAATTACTTTCAAATTGGAAGTAATTGTGGGTCTATCATCTAAATTCTAAATGATCTAATCATCTAAGACTAAGTTAAGTAGAACTGACAAGTACACTGGTCTCAGTGGTCTGTCTGTAGTCAGGATTGGAATTTTTCTATTTGTTTCTGAAATCTTGCGGCTTCAACATGACGAATTTTCAATACATTTGGAATCTCGCGGCTCGATATTGCACTTTTGTTAACATTTGGATAGGAGGTAATTCCTCTGACGGAAATCTCGCGGTTTCAGAAATGGCGGGAACATGGTGGCATTCCATAGTATAAATAAAAGAACATGAGCTTTTGGGAAATTGGAGCGCTCTGTCATAATTGGAGCGTCAAGGTCACTACACCTTCCCCCACGAATTCTACTCCACAACTGCGGGCGGGCTGCGTGCTGCAGCTGGTCGCCGCTACCGTGCGCTACGCGGCTTAGCGGCTACGCCAGGTATGGTAAGTCAAAAGAATAGTGTCGCGCTCCAACCTTTCTTAAACGCCTACTGGTTATCCAAACCAAAAAATAAGCAATGGACTTCCTATGGACTTAATTCATAAGAAATGGATATGAACTGGATCAATTGCAGTAATAAAAAATAACC